CCTAGTATGACATGCAAAAAAATGAATAAATTATAATAAATTTATTCAATATTGTATTTTGCAAACTTTACAAATATGATCATCATGAATATAAAAAATTTCAATGATCAAACATCACACAAATAGTAAATTCATAATAAAAATAGTTTATAAATACCTGATCATACTGGTCCTGCATGACATCACATGTCGCGCAGCTAGCCTAATTCATTATAAAACTTCTTTAAAAATGTGAATTAAGTGTTCACATTTAAAACAAATGTATTTTTTAGAAATTATATTAATTATATATATAATCATATTACAAATTTAGCAAAAACATTTAAATTTAAACTAGTAAATAATAATACAAAAGAAAAAATTTATCAATTATTTTATAATAAATATAATGTAGCATCTGTTAGCATTCTTGTCAGTATAATTTATATTTAAGTGCAAATACTAGTAAAGAATTAGTTACAATATTAGCTAATTATGCAATTAATTCTAATTATTTGTATATTTCTAGATTATACTATATATTTAAATCTGAGTAATATGAAGAATAAAATGATTCTGCAATGTTTTTATAACTTAAATAAGAGATTAATATATATAACAAAGTTGGTAAAAGAAAAACTTATTTATAAGAATATAATTTTCAGAAAGATTTAGCTTTTATTTTATATATTATTACTGAGCTTATAAGAAGAGTTTATAAAAAAATCTGTCAAGCCAAAGAATTATGTAATTTTGATACATTAACCAGTTTTGATTCACTTAATAAATCAATATTTCTTCTTATATAAGTTATATAGCAGATAGTTTGCTATTAGGTATTTTTTTACTTCTGAAAAAACTAAAATTACTATTGAGTATGCAATTAATTTGTTAAAAATAATTTTATTACTGAATCATTTTTTAATTGCAATCCAGAAATTAGACCAGTATCTATTATTACTGATAATTTAAATCCTATTCATAATGCATTACAACTTTGTTAGTTAACAACAAACTGAATTTTTTTATATATTTCATATGCTCTAGATATTTTGAAGATAGTTATAGAATTCAAACCATTTAATTATTAAAGAAGATCAAATTCTAATTATACAGTAAATAAAAAAACATATATTTCTTCAAAAGAAGAAATAGAAAAAGAATATAATTTATTTATTTAATAATATTTTATAAAATATCAAAAACTAGTACAACATTTTAATTTTATTTGAGAAAACAAAAAGTCTAAGAAATTGCTTTTCAAAATAATTTATTAATGCAAAATAATTACACAAATAACTATGTAAAAGAAGTTTTGAGTTACTTAAAAACATTGTATTTAGTCATACCCAAGTATATAATATAGTTCAAATATTTTATTTTGGTATAAATAAAATGAAATGCTTTTATAAAAAAAGACTATTAAGTATTGCATATCAGTATCTACGTCATTTAATTATTACAAAATAATTTCTATGTTCTAAATGGAATAAAATTAACTTTGATTTAATAAATGAAATAAGATTTGAAAAAATTTATAAAGTAGCAAATGAAACTAAATTTAATACTTTTTATATAGTGGATTCAAATATTGAAACATGTACATGCTTAAAAGGTTCTTCAGAAGCTTCTTGTAAACATTAAGCAGCAGTAGTAGTAAAATACCATCAAAGTTTTTTAAATTGTTTGACAGCTCTTTTACTAGATAATAAAACTAAATTATCATATATTGTATGTAGTAAATTTTTTTTGTATTATTAGCAAATAAAATCAATTAACTTCAATTACTATATAATTTAGGTTACATTTCAAAAGACAAACCATTTTATGTATCATTACATTCAAATACAAAACAAATGCATAATTATTCTAATGAAATTAATAATATTAATGATCAAGGAATGATTCCAAATTTAAATAATAATATTGATTATCAAGAAACAATTTCAAATTCAAGTAATAATATTAATAACCAAAAAATAATTCCAAATTCAAGTAATGAAATAATTAATAATACAAAAACTATTAATAATAAATCCACAAATTATAGATATATTTTATAACATATGTAAATATTGTTTTTATTAAATTTAATTTTATATATCAAAATACAATACAGCAGTAAAAATAATCCAGAAGCTAAAGATATCAAATTATTTTATAAAAGAGGCTAATGAAGATATAATAGTGAATTCACAAATTAAAACTGCATTAGAAACTTTTATTCAAAATTATAGAAAAACATGTAATATATCAACAGGAAATTTACTTACCATTCTTTATTTAAATAATAGATGAATTCACAGTAGAAAACAAATTCCTGTTCAGGCAGCCTCATCTCAATGTAGAACAAAATGGTTAACAAAGGTAAAAAAAAAAGGAGCATTTCCGGTACGACAGTCATTAAATGAACTTGAAAATGCAGATCCTTAAGAAATGCAAGCCTGTAAAAAAAGAAAATCCATCAAAAAAACCACAACTTATTGTGCAACATTAAAGCGAATAAAGAAAATTAACGTCAAATAGTTTTATTTTCTTTCATGTGTATTTTCTATATTTGTAAAAAGTTTCGATTGCATATGCATTTAAATATTATATTGTATCAACTATTATATGCTTGAAATTTAATCATTTTGCGCATATGCGTTGTAACGCACCCATAAGATTAGGTGTAACATGAAATCAAACCAAATTGGCGCATTAATTTAGGGTAAGGGCCAGCGTTAAGATAGATCAGGATTAACTAATAATAAAAACGATTTTAATATCAATTTTGCAAGGAATTTTTTTTTATTAGAACGCGAAAAGTGATTTCATAAGCAAAATTTTGAACTACAAGCGATTTTTAGAAAAATCGGTATTTTCTTTCGATTTCACGTTACACCTGATCTTACGATCTAATTGGTTGATCAGGTGGGTGCGTTACAACGCACATGCGCTAAATTATATAAACCTAACTTATATTGTCGAAATTTATATTATCGCTATAATATTTTAACTGAATGTCAGGTTTATAATTCGGAGATACGCTTAACCTGTCCCAGATTTTTTATGTGAAGTATAATTTGAAAACAAAAAATGCAAACGTAAGCGATGTCATAGTTGCGATACTAGCAATAGAAAAAAAGAATTTTAGACTCAAAAATTGATAACCCGATACTGATTAATTGTCTATTTGGGTAATTATTTTCGAATCCAGACCGAAATGTTATTACATTGTATATAAAATTGGCCCGGGTTCGAAAATAATTACCCATTTAACGTATTTCATTTTTTTTTTTATAGGATTTTTATTGGGTTAATTAAATGATAATCAATGATCATCAAAGGCAATAGCAAAATAATTTTTCGGATAACCTGATAATTTATTATACGATGCCTTGTGAACTTTTGTTTAATTAGCTAACTGCCCGGTAGTGTATATCAAATGCATCGCAATATCTTAATGTTAACTACTATATTTGTTTTCGTTCCTGGTTCCTAGCATGACTACGTCATGCAACTACTTTATTTATAATAAATAAGATTTATAAGAAGCAACTAATTTGAATAAGAAATTGATTTTCAATAATAATTCTGTGTAGTTTGTTTATTAGATACAAAAAAATAAAAAAGTCGCAAATTTGTGATCCAATCCAGCGCGGGATTTTTGGCAAAACTGCGATTTGACCATCTCTATATGTGGCACATCATTAATAGACACTCCTTATATTGTTAAATTTTCTATTCAGAATTTAAATTTTATTAACATTAATTGGTGTCAGTCAATTTAAACTTTATTAGAGCTTTAGCATCACTAACCCAAAGATTTTACTAAAAAGATTTGCTGTTAAATTAAGAACAGTATTCGTTATTATATTAGGTTAAAAAATTTGCGGATTAACCTTTTTCAGCACATTGAAGGTTTGATACACCTGATCTAAAATTTTGGTTGGCTGCTGAAATGTCTTAAGGTAATGACATACGTAAAAGCTCCCAGTAGAGGTTGGAACCAGTTTTAATAATTCGGGTTTATCACGTGAATTTTGTGATATTTTGGAATTTATCCAATTAAATTTTAATAAATTCTAAATATCACAAAATTCATGTGATAAACCCGAATTATTAAAACCGGTTCCAACCTCTAGCTCCCAGTGCATGAACAGGTGCATAACTTGTTTTTAATGCATTCGTTTAATTTTTGCAGAGATACAGTGAGACAAGTTTTATGAACTGCATTTGTGTATATGAACCAAATTATTCAATCAAATAAAAAATACCAGAAATGAAATGTAACGAATATCAGGAATTGGATACAATGATTCCAGAATAGAATACAATAAAATTTATAGTTATACGGAGAGGAAAAAGTGCATCCGAATCCGTGTATCTGACCGGATATCATTTCCATATGGTGGTTTTATGTTAATATACCGTCAATTACCCCTCTTTAAGAACACATTGTCTAAGTAAAATTCTTAATAAAAATTTCTCTAAATACAAGGGCTTTTTTGTCCCAAATATATAAAGTAATAGAATTTTGCATCATTTAAATAACCTTTTTACATTAAGGTTTAAATTTATACCAAATAAATAATGTGAATATATGACAATCTGTTTAGGTACAAATAAAATAATCAACAACTATTCAAAACATATATAGATACAAGTGTGCCCCACAGCGCCCTGTGATAAAACGGGTTCAAAAAATAAACCATATATAGATACAGCCCACAGATACATATCTATAAAACCCCCTAAATGTATGTCTTCACTTGGGCTCAACTAATATAATGCTTACAGATTTTACCTCCTTAAATAGAATACATCTCGAAATGCACGTTTATATAAATTTTCACATATGATCCTGTCACAATGCATTTAGAGAAGTCTAATTGGTTTATACTTTAATCATTTAGAGAATTCTGCAATCACATTTATCCTTACTGATTGTAACACAAATTGATCAAATAAAATGCAGTCAAAAATTTTAAATTCGAAAGTAACATACAGTATTTGTTTTCTATCAATTCTTTGTTTATATTTTATACTTGATTATTATTAATTACTTTCTTGCTAAATGAAGTAGTCAAAATGTATGAAAATGTATGTTCTTAATACACAATAATTACTCCTGTTACTATATTCGTACTGTACTGGGAAAAGAGAAACTCAATATTTTTATTTGAAGTTTCACTGACTGAAATTAGCCCCTAAAATTAGGTCTTTTTGTAAGTATTAGTTGGTAATTTTGGGCAGGTTTAACTTCAGGAGTTTAATGCTACAACCTCAAGCAGATGCTAAATTCAAACACGACATTATTATATTTTTAATCACTAAAACCAGTGATTTTTATAATTTTTGTATAATCATAAATAGTGCACATTTTTCAGAAATACGAATGTTATTGCAATAGAATATAGAGCCATATTCATATACATTATAATTATTCTTTTTTTTGGTCAATATGCTTAATATTCGCTCCATTTTTCTATTATTTACGCTAATAACCCTTTCATTTGCTACCATTACCGCTCAACATTTTATTGACAAGCGACAAACTAATGCTGTTTCTGGTCTTACAATCACTAAGCCCGGTATTGAATATATTTCTTGGCACAGCTCCTGTAACAGTTAGGAAGTAAAAACTAATGTATTAATGGTTAATTATTTTATTAAAAAGATGAAGCAACCCCTTATAATACTACTTACAAAATTGTTATCCGTTTCTGTGCTGATAAAGACTTAACACATCTTGATTCGATATCACTTTATAAAGCTAATGGGAATAACTTGAATTTTGTTTATGTGTTTCAGTCAAATATTGCAGTAAAGCTTACGAGGTTATTTTTTAAAAGTAATGCCAATAACTGCCTTTTAAACTAATTTTTCCTAACCATTTTTAGCGATAACAATAATAATAAATGTCAAGCCTTTACTTATAACGTTCCAAATGTCACCCCTGATGCTCAATATGTTATTAATATTGCTTTTAATAAAATGAACATAAATTCTGGATCTTTTCTCATCAATAACCCGGGGTTCGGATTAGTTATTACTAAACCAAAAACTGGACAAATTACTACGGTATGGGGTTTTAGAAGTTAAAAAAAAAAAACTTATTTATAAATATATATTTTTTGCCAATTTTAGTGTGGTAGTCAGCTTGATGTCCAATGGGTTGATCGTAAGTAATTTATATCTAACCTGATATCAATGAACTTACTTTTTATTTATTTGTCTCTATACTTTTTAATTTAAATATAGTTTACAACCTATATCAGAACGCTATTATTAACAGTATATTTCTTAAAACTCCCACCGGTACCACAACTTTGACTACATCAAATGTACCAGCTTCATCTGGCAAATATACTGTTACACTTCCTAATGGACTTCAAAATTCCCAAGGTTACAATATTGCACTTCAAGTAACTCGTGATAATAACACAGAGACCTATTATTCAGATACCTTTACTATTAGGAGTTGTTAAAGATTGATTATAAAATAAATAATTAGTATTATTAGTTCTAAATATGCAATATGTAATATTGTTTTTTTTTTTCTTACTAAACTAAGATTTTAGAAGACTTGATTTATCTCATAATTTGGTCGTATATTAATTTAACTTACTTTAGACAAGACTCGTTATAACGGATATCTAGTTATAACAGTGTAATTCTCTGGAACAGGTTAAAATTTTATTATTGTTTTATATAACTTTATAGCGAATCTTCATTATAATGGACAGAATTTCTTGACACAACCACTACGTTATAACGAAGGTAGATGCTTGACGCAGTGTAGGAAATCTGATGTTCTCATGTTCTCAAGAGAACATACTTTCGGATTTGAGAACATTTGTTACTTTGGGCATGTTCTTTATAAAAAATTTTTTGAGAACATATTGCTTAATAAATATTGTGATACCGGAATATCGTGATCGATCACGTGAAAATACACGAAATGTAATAAGTTACATTTGTGATCGAGAATGGTATTTTGGATCCTTAAATAAATAAAATAACATTCAGTCGCCTTAAAGTAATAATAAGTGCAAAGTCGCATTTGTAAGCGACGAATTTAGTATTATAAATAAAGGCCAAAATGGCCATAAGGGACGACATGTCTCATTTGCTTTATTAATAAACAAATCCCAATACATTTCATCGTCCATAATAAAACACTAACACTAATACCGTAACCGAAAGCCTTAATCACCCACCAGCCAAATCTAACACCCTTTTTAGAAAATGTTACGTATCATACATTACACGAGATATTGAATTGTGGAGCGACAGAGTCACAATCTTCCAAACACAACAATATGTTCTCTATATAGTACAGTACAAATCAAGTTAAAATTAGAAAATGAGTAAATTCTGAAAAGAAAATGAATGAACACAAATTACCGAAAATTTCAAAAAATGGCAACAGAAATTTTTGTTATTGAGAACATAAAAATATTTTTGAGAATATTAAATTAAATAATTGTGTTCTCATGAGTACATAAATTTTAAAACAGATTTCCAACACTAGCTTGATGAACTCATTTAGCTTTGAAAAAGTTTTGTCTAATTACATGTATGACAAACTATTAGCAATTGATAAAACTTTCGATGATTGATGAAACTATTACTATTGTAATATAGGAAAGTTCACCTTCAAGTATCGATAAAAATTTTATAATTTCGTTAAGGTTAAGGTTATATAAGCCACATTCATATACATGTAATTAATTCATTCATAATATAAAAATACAACCCTTAAGTTATTTTTTTAGTGAACAAATTTGCCTTTTAAAATTATTAGAAAAAATCCACTAGGATACAAAAATTTTTATAAAATCTTAAATTAAATTGGATTAAAGTTTCAATCCAAATAAATCTGTTATCTATTTATCCATATCTGAATTCCATTTAATATTGATATTTGGATAATCTGATAAATATTCAAATAATTATCTGGATATCAAAAGTAAAATGGATATCTGAATAAATTTTTTATTTTTTTTATTTTTTTTATTAAAGGCAGTCTTGCCTGCATAACTTTTTATTAGTAGTAGTATAAGATTACATATTATATACAGGGTATATTAACGAAAATACAACTAGTCACATGTATAACTTTAGTCATTATCTAATTAAGGGTTCCGCTCATAGGTTACCCACTAGAAGCCATACCTGAGACCCGCCTGTGAGTTCTCTATTTAAACTTTCTGATTTTCAATACTTAACTGCATATATATACAATGTATACCATCCTGATTATGACAGGACAGATTAGGGCTATCTAATTACTATTTATATCTAAGTACCACTACATTGGATGTTACTAAGTATCTATAGTCCTTTCAAATTTACCCTCGATGCAAACTTACTAACTATAATACCAAGATTACTCCTTAGATTTATTCAATTTTAGTATATCCCATATCTACTAGAACTGGTTTGGTGCCAGAAATGTTTGAATTTTGAAAAGTCCATTCCTTTTTCATAGTTTCCTTTTATGTTCATCATATCACCCGCTAGTGCGCCTTCTCTCCATTTCTGGTATGTTCACCACTTCTCTTGCATCGAGCACCAACTCTCCATATCAGGAAACTTTTTTCCAGGAACTTTCTTATATACCGATTTTTAATCACATGGACTTAGCTACAGGGCTTCGTGTACATTTATATGCTTCTGTAGATTACAGAGTTGCCTCTAGCTGGAATTAAACCATCGATCTTGTCTGTGGAGAGAGGAGTGCCTAGACCACTAGGCTATAGGACCCCATCTCTGGATATCTAAATAAATTAAGTTCTGAACATCCAATTTATAAATAGATAAACAGATAATGGATAGGAACTCTAAATTGAATAAACCAATTCTTGAAAGTTCAAAAAACAATGTCATATTACATTATATTAGTATAGAAAATATTGTAAGACATAAATTAAGTACATTAATACTAGCTAGAAATAAAAAAAGTTAAAAGTATATTTTAATTAAAATGTAGAATAAATATATATTTTTTATTTGCCTATATAGAAAGTATGTATTTTGTTTAAAATAAATAACAATATAAAATAAATTCAAAATATAGTATTCTTAATATAATCTTAATATTATTAAATTATGAATTATTAAAAATATATTTAGATGTTAAACTTTTTAGAAAAGATCAGCAGATCAAATTTTCTATCATATTACATAAGTTTTCTTAGTAATGCAAATAATAATATAGTTGTTGTAAATTCTAATTAATATTTAATAGTCATAATTTATAATAGTAAATATGGAGTGTGGTGACCTAGTGAAGTAGTCAGGTTGTCAACCCTCCAAGTGATAGGTTGGGTGTTCAAATCCCATCGATAGTAAAAATTTGGATAATCACCTATGTAATATTTATAATATGGCAACTGTTACTAATAATTGGGTTAGAATACCTGTAATGGCAGTTGCATTAGCATGACTGGTAGGTTATGGGTCATCTGGGCAATGTTGAAGTTACACAGAAGAATGCAAACTGACAAATCAGGTGGTGCAAACACTAGATAAGTCCTTGTGGTTATATAAATCTGTTGAAATTGGATAACAAGAAGTCTATTTGGAAAGACCCAAATAGAGAGGTAGCTAGATCTTTAACAGCCCTATTGTAAAGGCTAGCCTGACAAAACAAATACCCAGGTTTAGTACCCGGTCCTAGTAGCCAGATGGGCAAGAATCTCCGAGTTGAGAGTCTCAGAAGTACCACCAACCAGGCCACCAGAATGAACTAGAGAAAAAGGATATCAGACTAACCTGATATACCGATGAACTGGTCATAGTCCTACATGGGCTATCTGGATTGGGAGTTTGGTAAAAGGGTAGGAGAAAAGGCAGGGGTATACTAAAGTACCGGTGTTATGCTGTGAAGTAGATGCTAGGGTCTAAGTGAACTCTACAAGGGCATAGCAGTTTAATAGTTAGTCCTGGTCACAAGTGTTGGTTCTGCCATAGCAATACCTAAATTAGTTGTAAAAATAGATACAGAAAACTCTGGAGGGTTTACCTCAAGGATAAATTAGTCCTAAGGTTGAGGATGATAATCTGGTACATCTGAGATGACCAGTGATGTTAA